AAAAAAGAAAAAAGAAAAAAGGATAAAAAAAGACAAGAAAAAAAAGGAGACAGAAAGAAAAAAGAAAAAAAGGAAAGAAAAACGAAGAAAAAGGAAAGAAAAAGGAAAGAAAAAATTAAAAAAAAAAGAAAAAGAAAAAAAAAAGGAAAGGAAAAAACCTCAACCAAAACAACCCCAAAAAAACCTCTTAACTATAATCTTATCACCTGTACGTACCCCAGGTGCAAGAAATGTGTCCTCTGTATTAAAAAACATACTTTTAAAACAAAAAAGGGGGAATGTGACACCCCAAGTAGACGAAGCTGTATTTACCCTTAATTTTTTTAATTTGGATCAATAAGTATTGTACAAAACCCCACATGAAGATGCCCTGTGGCAAGGTCCTATTGAGTTGCTGGCATGGGGAAGGAGGATGCTTGTGTTTTATCTCCCTCAGAACCCCGTTGACTTCCAGCACGTTTGATGAAACCTTCTCCTGAGTGGGACAGACCCGACACGCAATCTGATTCTGCAGATGCAGAGGCTGTCCCTCAGACAATCCCAGAAGGAGACTGGAGAGTGGTGCAAGGCCTGCCCGGATGTCACATGGAAGAAAATATTCTAGGAATAATTCATGGTGTCCACCAACTCTTAGTAACTGGCATAATGACTCAGTCATGAGTCTCACTCATATGCCTTCTTGGCCACACCTGATGTTGTGATTAGTGTGACTAACAATACCTTTAACATTTTTGTAGGTAATCCCTACTATTCTAATTGTATTACAAATCAGAATGTATCCGCTCTCAGTTTATCAGTAATAATTCCAATGTGTAGAGGAGCTGAACTGTGGCTCCCAGTGAACCCAACCAGAAGCTGGCAGGATGATGCAGGATACAGTAAATTAATGAAACTGTTAACACAGTCAAGAAATGATCACTGGATGGCTAATTGCTTTTTCATCTCTGCAGTAATCATGGCAGCTACCACAGCCACGGCTACCGCTGCATTGGCCCATTCAGTGCAGGCCATGCACTGGGTATTGGGTAATATGTCAGCATCAATAGTAGGTTCTTTAACTATTTGTCTGGTTTTAATATTTCAAGTCCTCTAGAAGTGCATGGGACAAACCCAAAGACAAGAAGCCCAGGTCCTGGCCCTCTCCACAGCGAACCCTGCGTGTCACAACAAAACAGGGGGAGATGTGGGAACAATCTGAGTCACTCTGCACCTGCATTGGGTAATTGGCATCAAAAGCGAGGACCGACCTTGGCTAAGTGTTTTGACAGAATGTTGTGTGTCTCAGAGTGGCAAACCACTCTGCAGGATGGCGTGTTCTTCTCCCAGGGCTGAACACAGCCACTGCATGCTGTGGGTGTGTGGGATCAGAACACTGGTTTAGGACAATACTGGGAATTCCAGTTAACTAAAAGACAACAATAGGTGCTGTTTATGGGAGAACATGAATAAAAGGGGAAAGCTGAAAATGGTTGGTGGAGAAAGCCCAAAACCCAACTGTGTGGAGTGCAGACTCATCTTTTCAGTGCCCACAGCTTACCTTGTCCAAGGACTGCAGCATGCTCTCTGCACATTTGACAGCTGATTTCATGCCCTCCTCTTCAGCCTGCAGCCGAATTAGCTGATGCTGAGCACAAATATATGCTGTCTGGAGCCTGGCTACCTCTTGACTCTCTTCAGAAACTTCATCAGTCTCCTCACGAGTGACTTGCTTGCTTAAATCTTCAAGTTGAAAGCTGTCTTCATGTGAATTTTCAACACATTCAGACATACCTTGATAGAAATATTTTTTTATGTGTGAGGTAAGTGCTGCAGTGTTTTGTTCCTCCAGAGCAAAATACTTGTCCAAAGGAAGTTGGGAAAAAAACACTGGATGTTCTGAATCTGAAGCTGTGAAGAAAGAGGCAAATTTCTTTGCTGCATCCATAAGAGACTGCAGTTCACTGTCGAGATTCTTATTTGCTGCAATAAACACTTCCAGCGCCTCTTTCAAATCTTTTTGTGCTTCTTCCTCTTTGCTTTGCAGTGTTTGTAACACATGGCTGTTTGCAGTGACCATCAGTTGAAGCTTGTTATGCTGATGAATTTGAAGTTTTTTTAACTGCTGAAGAGTTTGAAGCTCATCCTCTAATTCCTTCAGTTCCTCCTCTTCCTCCTCCTCCTCTTGGTTACTGTTCTTTGAATCCATCGGCCTCAACGTTTTCAGAGCTTCATCCAGTGCATCTCCTTCCAAGATGGGCTTACCACACTCAACAAGATTATCAAAATCTTGCAGTTCTTTTTCAGATACCACATGCTGCTCATTTATGTTTCCACAAAACCACTCCAGAAACGATCTGTCTTCTGAAGACTCGAACATCCAGTCAAAATCTTCTCCATTAAGCTCATCAGCTTTTGGATATCCAATTTTCTTAAGAGTTTCCACAAAATCCTTTCCACAGCTCATGATTAAAATATTTTTTGTAAGCAGAAAAGATCCAAATGCATGAAAAAAATCTGGGGAATTATTCCAGCCGTGATTTTTTTGCCATTTAAAATGAATATTCAGTATTTTAATAAAAAAAGAGTCTGCACAGGAAAAAGAAAGTGTCAGATCACACCAAAAAAACTGAATGATGTTTTGGATTAGAGTGGTTATTCAAAGATTAGAAAACAATTTTTTATTTTTATTTATCTTAATATATTTTGTTAATCAAACCAGGACACATTTTTACATCAGTTATATCCCTGATCTTTGCAAGTACTTACATTCCTCCTTAATTCACATACATTATTAAAATAGAATAGCAACAGGTGTAAATACTGAGCAATTCATTGGCCTGCAAAAGTGATTTACTTATATATTTTTCTTCACATTCCTTTAAAAAAAACCCACCCACGATCATTTCAAAACTTCCAAAATTAGTGGGGTTTTCAGTTTGTTCTAAAAAGAAAACCACAGTGATGTTACACTGCACTTCAAGATCTAGGTTATAAAGGGTTATTTTTTACCTCAGCAGCAACCAGTCTTGTCTTCTAAGCCTTCATTTAAAAGATTCCTCTGAAATCCTAAAGTGTGTGCAACAGACAGCAAAGGATAAATTATTAGAAAAGTCAAGAGGCCTTGTTTGCATTAGTATGGTAATACTAAGAAGTTTTCTTTAATTTGATATTATTTAATATTTTGTTTCTAAAACATACGCTCCAGCACAAAATCCCACTTTGCCAGCCAGCCTGGAGGGCTGAACCAAGTAAAGGGATCCCTCTAAAATTCCATATGTGTCTGACTTAACTCAGAGTTATAGATTACATATGAAACAAAATGTTATGCGAGTTTCATGTCACAGGGTGGCCTTCCAACTCTCCTCTGCCCTCAGTGCTAAACAGGGCATAAATAAATATGGGTGCCAAGAGGGTGGTGCTAGACTCTTTACAGTGGTGCCCAGGGGCAGGGCAAGGGTTAATATAGACCAAAACACAGCAAACATCACCTCAGCATGAGGTAGAACTTTACACGGAGGGTGTCAGAGCACTGGAACAGGCTGCCAAGGAAGGGTGTGGAGTGTCCCACTCTGGAGACATTCCAAACCCACCGGGAAGCGTTCCGGTGTCACCCGCTCCAGGAGACTTTGTCTTGGCAGGGGGGTCGGACTGGAGGCCTGAGGCTTCTTCCAGCCTTAAATATTCTGTGGTTCTGTGCGATAAAGAGCCCGCACAGCTTTATGTGCGGCCACTAAACACCGCAAACAACAACTCCGGAGCCCTGAGGGAGCATCCCTCATCCCCGTCCCCACACGGGCCCGCCCAAAGGCCGCACGGCCGAGGCCCTCGGGGGCCACGTCCCGTCCCGCCCCGCCCGGGGCCGCCGGTGCCTCCAGCCCCGCGGGGATCCCGCTCGGCAGCCAGCCCGGAGCGGGACAAGGCGCGACGAGGGGACGGAGGAACGCGAGCGAGCCCGCCCCGATCCCACAGCACCCGCTCCGTACTCACCGCAGCGTCCGCTCGGCCCCGGCGGCGGCTCCGGGTGAGGGGAGCGGGGCGGGAAACGGCGGGAAAACTGAGGGGAGGCGCAGGGAGGGGCGGCGGGACGGCTGAGGGGAGGGCTGAAGGAGAGCAGCGGGAAGGCTGAAGGGAGGCCAGAAGGAAGGCTGAGGGAGGGCGGAGGGGAGGTCGAGGGGAGGCTGAGGGAGGGCTGAGAGCGGGCTCAGGGCGCGCCCACAGCTCGAACCGCGCGCCACGCGCCGCCTCCCTCCCCGCGGGGGCGCACGCGCACGCGCCCTCGGGCCGGGCCCGCTTGGTGACGTCACGGGGACAACCCCCTCCCTCAGGGCGGCCGTGGGAGCGAGGGTGGCTCCGTTCGGATGTGTCCACTCAGCCCCGCTGCCCCGTTCTCCTCGGCTGTGTCCCCTCAGCCCCGGTCCCTCAGTTCCCCCCGGCCGTTGCCCCCCGTTTTCCCCTTCGCAGAACACGGGAACTGGAGGACGGGGCAGACCTGAGTGCAGCTGATGTCGCTCGGCGCTTTGCCCGCTGTGCCCGCCAGGCTCCCTGTGCCCATGCCCCAAACGCGACGATTCTGCCCGCTGTTGCTGTGTGGGTGATTTTCACCCCCGATTAGTCGTTCCGGTAATTCATGGCCTCTACGTCCATGGATTTGTCACAAGGCAACATCCCAGAACATCACTACCTGCTGCTTGGAAAGGCACTTTCTATATTGCTTTTTAGCCGTTTCCAAAACCGGTCAAATGATTCCTGGCACTAACATCGCAGGATTTGGTCAATGCCACCTCTGCATGTATCTTACCCATGGCATTCATGGAAATTTAGAAACCATCAGTACATTTCCCTTCAGCTTTGTCCTCTCCAGTTTGGAGAGTTCCAAAATTTGGCCTCTATAAAGGCAGTGCTCCATTCCTCCCATTATTCCAAATGTCCCCTGAACCTTTTACAGCATTACTGTGCCTTGCTGGAGGTGCAGAGATGAGACTGCAGGGAGTCCTCAAGGTGTGGGTGTATCAAGGTTTTCTACAAAAACCTCATTTCCAGTGCCCTTCCTTACCATGCTGCCTAGTTTCTTGGCTTTTTAGCTGCTGTGGCTCATGGAGTGACCAGAAAGCTCTTGGCATAGGCTGGGGAACCTCTTCTGCATTGCAAGGGCTGGTTCTCAGTCAAGCACCATGTAAACTTGTCATTAACAGTTTGAGCATCCCTTATCAGGCACTCCTTGAGTTTAGACGTCTTTGCTTCCTGTTTACATTTTGTGTGCCACGTTTTTCTGGGCTTCCCTACTTGCCCTGCAATAGACTCCTTAAATTTCTCATTGAGTCACACAGGGGGAGGTTTGTGCCACATTTCTCTATTTGTGTCAGATATTATACGTGGGCTTCTAGAACTGTATTTTTTAAGCCTTCTGGATGTTTGTAGGCTTCTTGGTTTCAAACTGTGCATTTAGGGGGTTTTGGCATTTCCCCGACTTTTGCATAGGTCATTTTGATAATTTTCTTAAAACTGAGTATCTGTTTGCTTTATTTGTCCTAATCTCTTCTTAGTGTCTAATTATATTTTGGTTGCTACTATTTAGCAGCTAATAGGTCTTGAATTAGATCCTCTGCACTGCTGAAGACTAAATTCAGAATGACTTTTTTTTTTCTTGTGGTTCATAGGGTCAGTTATACAAGAAAGAAATAATTTATTGCATACAGAAGTGTTATCTCTACATTTCACCCTGATAAGGCATTGACCCAGTCCATATGAGGGTAGTTGAGCCCCCTCACTACTTGTCCTAAATGTTCAGCTTCTCTAATCTCAGTGCAATTGTTGAAATGAATCAACACTGGGAAATGAGCAACCTTGCAGCTCAGCACAGCTGAGACTAAATCACATGAGGTTTTCTAGATCAAAATCAGCACCTGTATCGCTCACAAAGTACAGAATGCTGATTTCTGGTATAACGTGGTCCATGCAAGACACTTTTAGATTAAACCCTGACCTGGCAGTGAGTTCTCCTGGGTAAAAGGAGCTGTAGTGTTGAATTCCTTCCCATCAGATTACAGCCTGATATGCAGCTCCAAGTTAGGCTGGCTGAAGTTTTCAAATCGTCTTGCAGCTGGGAGTGCATTGCATTTTTCTGACGGGGAAGGAACAAAAGCATTCACCAGTTTATTTCATAAGAACTGTGCTGTTTCAGATCAGTCAGTTACTTGCAGTAAAATCAGCCTCTCCTACAGCAGTATTTTGCAGGGTTGTGCTTCACAGTATTGTGCTTTGGGTTTTTTTGTTTCATAAATATTAGTGTTTCAGGGTTGCTCATGTAAAAAATGTCCGAGTAAAAGAAAACTTTAAATACCTAGAAAACATCCTAAAATTCTGCTGTCCTGAGAGCAATTCAGCTCTTCCACTGAAGTCCACATCCTAGATGAAAGAAGACACATCTGATAAAAGACTGTCTGTCTTTTTTCTATCAAATTGTCTCTCTGGGTTGCTGCAACTAATGCCTTCAGTTCCCTGTGTGACTGGTTCCTCTCCCTCTTTCCAGACTATGATGGCTACAGTGTCCCACTTCCCAAAGCCTTATGTCCCTGCCTGTGCAGCTGGGCAAGCAGCACTACATGCTCATTCTGTAGCTGGTTTGGAGCTACAACCATGCTGGCCAGTCCTGGCCTCCTCTTGAGAACAGTGAAGAGTTCAGCTGGGACATGATCAGTGAAGGAAATAATTTGTTTTTCTTTCTATCCAGACATGGAATTTCTATGAAAGTTTTCATCGTGGATTATTACTGCAGCCTCCATCCTATCTCTGATTTGTCAAATTTGGTGAAAATTAGCCAGAAGGTTCAGAAGTTATCAAGGAAAGGAGGAGGGGAACAGATGGACGAAAGAGGAGTTGACAGACAGCATGATCTCATAATCCCCGCTGGCATAGGAATTCAGGCTAGAATTGAAATATTTTAGGTCAGAACATTGTGCACATAAAATTCTCATTTTGAAAGAACAAGCCTCTAAAGGGAAACAAATTATCATTTGTTAGACCATCGATCGGCTTTTAGGGCAGAGATTATACAACACACTTCCCCTACAAACATGTCTTCAAAATTTCTTGCAGTCCCTCTCCCCACCCAACCTCACCCCATGTGCTTTACTGTTTGCTTTTGCAGATCCTTATGGGTCAAGTTTGTTTTTCTCTGATTCATTTTTTTTCTTGGTTGTGTTCAGTCAAAACATAATTAAAGGCTTACCTTACCCCTTTTTTCCATTCTAGGAGCAGTTGGTTTGCATCTGTGTCCGAAAGCTGGATGGGCTGCTGAGATAGGATACTGCCTTTACAAGCCATTTTATGGTGAATTCCAGCAGATTAAGACATAAACATTTCTGGAAGGATGTCTGCAAGCTCTGCACTATTCCATCCATATCATGTTGTGTTTATTCCACTGCAAAATATGACATCATTGTGCCTGACACCTCAGAGAGAAGCTCTTGATTACCCATCATCCAAGGCTGTAATAAACAGCCACCAAACAGGTGTCACAGCTGGGCAGTCTAAACCCTCCCACTGGAATACATCTGTCA